ATTACAATATTGTAACCTTAGTTTGTGCTAATAGAACAATACAATATCATAAGCTGTGTTTGTGCTGATAGAACTAGGGTTACAATATTGTAACCTTTGTTTGAGCTAATAGAACTAACATTACAATATTGTAACCTTAGTTTGTGCTAATAGAACAATACAATATCATAAGCTGTGTTTGTGCTGATAGAACTAGGGTTACAATATTGTAACCTTTGTTTGTGCTAGTAGAGCTTGGGTTCCAATATTGTTACCTTGGGTTGTACTAATAGAACTAGGGTTACAACATCATAACCTTAGTTTATGCGAATAGAACTAGGGTTACAATATCGTAACCTTCGTTTCCCCTCTCCTTCCTAGCCCCTCTTCCTCTCTCTCCTTCTAAATCATCTTCTCTGTTATGCAGCCCTTTGGGATTAATGTGATGACGTTGCAGAGACTGATAGGGATATGCATGCACACACCTGTGTGTATACTTACACACATACACACACACACACAGGCAAGCATATTTTAGGGATATGCTGACAGCAGTTTATCAGAGCTTCTGTCTGTAAGCAGAAAATACTTAGACAAACAAGAACGCGCAGATATGCCTCTAATAGTTGTAATGTCTCTGTGAATACTCTTCACCTTACTTTTTGTTATTATTTAATTCCCTATAGTCAGTCAGTCAGTTGATTGTCATTCACGCGGTAGATTATCTGGCAGTCGGTCAGTAAATTAGTCAGTTGGTAAATAAGCCATGCAGCAGGTCGGTAAATAATTCAGTCACTCACTCAAGAATTAGTTAGATCATTAAATCAAGACAGAAAGTAAATGAATCAGTCAGTCATCAGCCTGTAAATCAGTCAGGAAATTCTGAGTCAAGTCAGTCAAATAATGAGTCTCCCTCTTAGGATGCAGCTTAATTTTGTCCTTGCAGCCAAAAGACAATGACCGCTGAACCTCTCTTCAGCCTGCCAGCCTGAGATAACACTTGAACAATTAACTCACGACTCCATCCTTACAGACAGAGTTTGCATGTGCGTGTGTTATAATATGTGATTGAGCATGTGTGTATGAGCTTGCATATGTGTGTTGAAGCCTCCATATGTCTTCATGAGTGTGTTTTGGAAATTCAGAAGTCAGTAGCAACGTTTGTGGTACAAGGGCACATATATATTTACTCCATATAGGTTGATAGTGTCACCTGATTTTCCTGCTCTGTGTTGCATTGCTGTTCTCAACCCAGGTTAACTGGACTTATCAGAGGTAATATGAGCGAGGGATTCACCACCAATCCTGTAAGGGCTCCTTGGATATCACTGTAATGGATTGGTATGGGAAAAACAATGTTCAGCGTTATGATGTGGGAATGTTTTTGAAAAACAGTAAGAAAAGAGTGAATAAAGAAAAGGTGGAGGAAGGGGAGATTTTAGGCTCAGCTTTTTGTTCTGATTGCATTTTTCAAGCGAGGGTACGAGCCTGTACTCCACAAGAATGTTGTGCTCCTACTTTTATTTTTCACTCGACTTAATAAATTCAAAGTAGCACCATGGGCTGCAGAAGATTACACCTCTGATGCAGAGCGGCAGTTAGATAGGCATTGGGTAGTTTCGTAGTGTTGCTGTGAAAAGTGAGTTGTTTCGATGCATTATCTCAAAAACTCGGTGAAATCCAAAGCTATTTTGTGTTTATTGCAAATTGAGTATTTTGGCCTCAGTTTTCCCCGCTGCCAGAGAGGATGTAATGGTCCGCTTGATGATGATGCGACAGAGGATTCAACACAAACAGTAGTGCTTCCGGTTTTATCTGTGGAGGAGTTGCGTTCGTAAAATTTCGAAGGAGACAGTGACTCACACTGAGCAGCTCTTCAGTGTTGTGTGCACACACACAAACTGGCATGAACTCACATAGTTTTTAGTCTTGTCATACCCAGCGACATGTCACAGAGAGGGTAGACTGATTCATTCATGTGGAGATGCTCAGTTGATTGAAGTGTACCTTTTAATGGCATCAGGGTAAGAGGGCTTGTCCTAGTAGTTCTGTTGAGTGGATTTGTGTTAAAAGAATAACCGCATTTTAGCCATGTTTCATTATTCGACAATCCCCTCTGCATCCAAATTGGCGGTTCTTTATCTGGAATGTGACCTCTGGGTTTCCTCCCAGGGGCTCGAGATGATTCAAGTGTAATTGACAGGTTTTATGATGGTCGAGGCATTTCTTACCTCTTGACTGCCGCTCATGTTTGATGAATCTCAACACACCACCTCAGCCAGCGCAATCTCCTTTCTTCTCCTCTCTTCAGTTCCTCTTCTGTCTTCAATTCTTCCACTCATCATCACCTATTTGCTCTGATCTCTCCTTTATAGGCCCCTCTCCTCAGTCATCTTCATATCCGGTGATCTCACTCTCATGGGAAACTCTCTCGTGGGAGTTTCAGAGTGGTTGGCTCAGAAACACTTCAGGAAATAACAGTCAATTATTTCCTGGTTACAGCACATATGTGCCAGCAAATTTGACAATAAACAGTGTCATCCTTGTAACTTTTAAGAGTAAAATAATTGTCTAATCATAAACAAGTGTCAACTGATAGGAACTGATATGATTTTACAGATATCGGTGCCATTATCAATTCTGCTTGTTGGTCTGATTTGCTGTCCCTTTTGAATTCCTGATCAATTTTCTCTGTGGGAAAAAAATAGGCCTACAATATTTGAACATTTATACAGCATTCACTTTCATCTAGATTTTATTTGTCAAAGAAAAGATCTGCTAAACCTGCCTGTGTGGCAGTAATGTTGTTATAACATAGGATGTTTAATCTCAGTAACAGATGTGCTGCTCGGTTGAGAGTGTCAAATTAGCCTGTTCTCATGCACTGTTCACACATGTACTTAAAAAATGTAATGCATCACAATTTGTACCATACGTTCACATAATCATGAGCCAGTAATTTGTATGTAACCCATGTAATTTGGAAGGCTAAGATCACCCTGTGCACAGTTTCTTTTCCTAAACCTAACTTACATAACTTAGGTTAACAAGGTAACGTCATTCGTAGGGCGCTTCTTTGTTAGAAATTATATAAACCAATGTACGAGGATATGTTGTTTGAATACATGGCATTCCTGGGATTTTAAAGAGATGATTCAGCATATTGCTGGTATGTCCACTTTTATTTGAAATGTTCATTTCACAGACATTCCAAGCAGCACTGTTGTCATCTTTCTTAGGTAAATTAAGTCACAAACCATTTCTTCCTCTCTGCCATGACTTCTTCCTGTTGCAAGCTTTCAGCAGTGTACACTCATGAGTTTGACATTCTTGTTTTGCTTTCATTCACTCATTGTCTGTAACCACTTATTATGTTAGGGGTCGCGGGGGGGCTGGAGCCTATCCCAGCCGACATTGGGTGAGAGGCGGGGTACACCCTGGACAGGTCACCAGACTATCACAGGGCTGACACATAGAGACAGACAACCATTCATGCTCACATTCACACCTACGGACAATTTAGAGTCACCATTTGACCTAGCCTGCATGTTTCGGACTGTGGGAGGAAGCTGGGGTACCTGGAGAAAACCCACGCTGACACAGGGACAACATGCAAACTCTGCTCCCCAGGGTTCAAACCCCCCACCCCAGGTTTGAACCAGGAACTCATTGCCGTGAGGCAACAATGTCAGAAAAACATGGCAGCATCGAAAAAAGGAATTGATAAGCTCGGAGGATTCGGTTCTCTATTCCCATCCCTTCAACTGTTGGCATATACAGTATGCTAACAAACTACTCTCATCTAAACTAGCACATTCTGCACTTGGTATTAATTGGTCTTGTCTTAACCTTGTTTGATCGAACTAAGACAGCCATGATAGATTACCTTACTGTGTGGCTCAGCTCAGAGTACATGTAGGCAGTTTTGTCCTCAACTTACGTCATTGCCTCTTTGAAATCCATACTCACATCACTTTGTCTTGAAAGTCCCCTTCACTCCAAATGTTATTGCTTCCATCTGCTCCAGCCTCTCACCAGCTTCCTATCTGACAGCATCTCCTGCACCTCTTAATCACTCTCCCTCTCTCTGTTGCTTCGATCTCTCCAACAACCCATTCTTTGAATGTCAATTTTTTTTTTTTTCATTTTCTTCATATGCCAGCCTTTTCACCAAAATACCACGAGTCGCCCTGTTTATTGGATTCTCAGCATGGCTGCATTAGTGTGAGTGCGTCAAAGGATTTGCAGTGTGCCCCCTCAAACTAAAGATTTATGGAGTTATCCAAAGCACTCACTAGCTGGGCGAGATGTTTTCTTTAAAAAATAGAAAAAGGGCAATTTTACTTTTTTGTCACAGAGGCTTTGTAGTGTCTGTTAAGTACAGTATGTTGTTCAGGTAGTTGTCTGAATTTGTACTGTAGCAGTCATCCATAACCACACTCAACATACTGTAAATGCTTCAAAAAAAGGGAAATCCAAGGCACTCTTCTTTAAATGTATAGAAAGCCTTTATTTAAAAAATGGCTGTTTCATTTAGAAAAGGTTAAAACATGATGAAAGTGGGTTATAGCCCACGCGTTTCAGCACAAAAGTTTGCTTTTTTTTTTTTTTTTTCGCTTTTGTGCCGAAACGTGTGGGCTATAACCCACTTTCATCATGTTTTAACCTTTTCTAAATGAAACAGCCATTTTTTAAATAAAGGCTTTCTATACATTTAAAGAAGAGTGCCTTGGATTTCCCTTTTTTTTTTAACGTCAACATTCCCACCAAAGAGCACCTTCGTCACATGATTAGATGAACCTTCTGAGCACTCTGGACATTCTTTTTGACTGAGATACTGTAAATGCTTGTCTAAAATCATCCTCTCTGCATGGCTATATGACCTATCATAGAAAATATAAACCCTCACCTCCATGCATAGTTTTTCACTGGAATCATAAATGGTGAGAGGATGCGCAGAGAATAAAATCTGACCAGTGTTTCTTTTTCCCCTTTTCCATCCTTTTCTCCACACACACTAGGTAAATATGCCATGAGAGATTTGATCCATCGGTTACCAGGCAGTAGCAGCAGCAGCAACAATAACGCCACCAGCAGTGGGACCTCCGGGACCACAGGCCCTGCCAGCAAGGCCATGTCAGATGATACGGTAACTGCCATCTGCTGCGCACTGCACGAAGTCATCACCAAGAACATGGAGAACGCCAAAGCCCTGCGTGATGCTGGCGGCATAGAAAAACTCATCGGTATCGCCCGCAGCAAAGGAGACAAGTGAGTAGTTCAGAAGCCAGAGGACAGATTTGGGTTGTTTCTATCTTCACCAGCATAATGGCAGTTTTTTGTTAAATAAAGTTAAAGAAAGTCAAGACATATTTTGATGATAAAGACACCAGCCTGGTCTCACAGAAATACATGCAGTGATCATGAAAGTCTGCATTGGAGAGGTTGTGGTTAGTAGTTGGGTCAAACAAGCAAACACAGGACTTTGAGACTTGTGATGTACTTCCATCCCATACCTAACAAACATACCTATTTTAAGTGATACCATAATTTACTTGTCAGTTTCTTAAAATAAGGAGCCAGTCCAAACGTACATATACTGTATATGAGCACTTGTGTTGCAAATCTGGGAGCTCTCTGGCTGACCTGAAAAGCTGCCATTTGTCTTTACATGACTTGTAGGAATAACATCAATGAGAATACAATGTGGGCTTCATTTCTGGTCATAGCACCTGAAGCATGGTCCCTTGTTTGATGGTGGATGAATGGGAAGCGTCACTTTTGTCACTGGGGTACAACAGCCAGTAATGGGAGTTGATGTGGACAGCAGCAGCAGTCTGCAAATCTGGTCTTTCCCAAGTCATGCCTTATACTAGTCCAAGTAAAGCCAGACATTATTAAATCAGCATTTTCTTGGCATTTCTTGGCACGTATACATCTCAGCTAAGTAGAAGCTATCTGACATTACCCACACAGAGAACAATGTAACCTTTAGTGGTGTTACTGATCTGCCCAAACATAAACACTATATATACAGTATATGTACTCTGTTATACAGGTTTGTGTAGATTTCCATGACTTTTCCAAACCTTTCTGGGGTTGTTTATTTTTCTGAAACTTCTCCAGGCCTGGGAATTGCTATTTTCAAATTCCATTACCATACAAACATAACTTCACTAAACCTACCAAATAGTTTCAGCGTCTAAACTTATCGAAAGTGCAACCATACCACCACGCTATTTTAGTACAGTTACAACTGGTCCAGCCACGCGGTCCAGATTCGTCCTCAGTCATTAGTTCAAGGTCCACACAGTTTAACATATTCAGCATCATACTTGTGTTTGGCCATGTCCTTGAGCTAGTATGCTGTCTCTCTCAAGTAGCTGTCCATTAGTCATTCACTCTACAACAGAAAACAGCACTTCAAAATAAAAGCTCTGTGTCAGAAATTCACCGTACTTCAAAATTAAGTGTTTTTACACACTTGACATGTTCGTGAATCACTTGCGATCCATTCAGAATGGACCCGCGACCCATTTTTGGACCGCGACCCATCAGTTGGGAACCACATCACATGCAACCAACACATAATGCAGTGTTAAGAGGTCTTGGCCATTTCATATATTTCTACGAGATCAGGTTGCAAGAGGTAGGCTATGCCAGCATCATTACATTAAATGGGGAAAAAATGGTTTGACAGAAATATCTTTTGCTCACCATTAATACTGCATGTTATGGTAGATTCCTTTACAAAAAATCCCCTTACTATCAGTGGCTGTATTCATGAGTTGTCCCACTGAGAATAAAATCTGCAGTAGTTAGCATGTTACTGATCTACAGTAGCATCTGAGAGTTCATCTCTAAGTTCACTTAATATCTACTTAAAATGCATTTGCAGGAGTCCCAAATTGGGTTCAGCAGATATCCTTAAAGGATGCTATTAAAACTTGAGGATAATTATATACTATAACAGTTCACAGAACATTATGCCATATGTATTTATAACCACAAGACAGATTTACCTGCACTACTGTTGAAGTGGTCGTTAGATTATAATGATATGTGCTTAACATTTTTTCCCATATTCAAGCAGGGATCATGTTCTGCTCAGGAAGGGTGAAGAACACTTACTGTAACTCTCAAAACATTTCTGACACAGCGGTGAAAACAAAGAGGAATGGATGAATGCTAAAATAATGTCAAAATAAGCAAAATGATAAATTGAGAAAGCTCCCTAATGACTTGCATAGTCGTAGGCATAATTTAAAGTCTAAAATCAAAACCTGTTCTCATTGTTGTATTGTCCTACCTTTACCTGTCAAGGTATCATTCAGCTCACCCCGCGCTGTCAGTAGTGACCAGTGCTTTAATGTGGCCTCACATCCATCATTCATAACTGCACCTGCGTTCTCTGTGACCATTCATCCACAAAAGACGGCCAGAGAATAAGGGAGATGCAGCAGAAATATCACTCCTGTCGCCATGGGAGACCGAGCAGGGTGTTCTGCCCAGCTGCTATGGCAACTACCAGGTCAGGGGTTGCCATGACCACCAGAGTGTTATCAGATGGGGTCAAACGTTCATTTATTGTTATGGAGAGAGACTCTGTCTATTTAGGGAACTGTGCCCGGGGGAACCATTACAGAGCGAGACGAGGTGCTGGAAGAAACCTTCATAAGTGCAAATTTCACAGTGAGTGTAGTTAGCTGCTAATGGCCCACACATCGTCCTTTTTTTTAGGATAGGTACACTGAGATAAATGCTCCTTATCAGCAGTGTTGTGCTACATTTACGTAATTACACAGTTTCAGATTAGGGAAATGTCCATTACAGCACCAACACAGGCACAGACACTGTTTACCAGCTCAGCTGAAACCGTAGGAGCTGAAACATTCAAAGTATTTGAAAATGTATATTTTGGTTTATGGCCTATTCCTTTGAAAGAGTCAGTGTCAGAATGCATCCCCATCATGCAGCTGCAAAACGATTTGGCAGCCCCAAATTTTATTCTGTCAGAAATGTATTATTTCAGTCAAATGCAATGAGTAGTTATGACCTCACAAGGATAAAAATCCTTCATGATGCCTAAGGCAGTAAAGCTGTCCTTTAGGACAGTGTTCCCCAACTGGTGCTTCGCGGTCCAAAAGTGGGCTGTATGGGCTGCAAGTGACTCACAAATGTGTCAAGTTTGTAAAAAAACTATTTTTATTTCGAAATTACAGACAGCTACTTGACAGAGACAGCAAACTGGCTGAATGACATGGCCAAACACAAGTATGACACTGAATATATTTCATCAGGAGAGACTCGTTTTTACAGTAAAAAAGAATATTCATTAACATGAATGAATAATGTGGAAAGTCTTTGGCAATTAGACCCTGTAGAGATGGTTTAATTTAACGAGGGTTATGAATCCATAGTCCAATAGCGAACCCCCCCAGGGTCTAGATGCTGTAGAGGTGGTGAAGATGAAATGAGAAGATGGAGAAGTGCTGATGATCTTTATGAGTAGAAGAGTGAGCCTTTGTTGAGCTCGTCCTGGACTCTGGGGGATACGATGACTGGAGGTGAACGGGGTGGAGGAGGGCGCGACAGTTCTGCATAAAATGACAGCTGACAGCAGCAGAAGAGAGAGCAGATTTAAAATTTTGCAGCAGCATCCTGATTGGCTGATAGAGATCGTGGCGAAGTATGAGTGGATTACTAGAGTGAACACCCATAGTCAGCTGATTAGAGGAAGCAGTGGGAGTGAATTGAAGTCTTACTGATTAAACTTAAGCTTTCATTCAAGTGTGTGGACATTGAACTAATGACTAAGGGAAAATCTGGACCCTGAGACTGGACCAGTTGGGAACCATTGCTTTAGGATTGACTTATGTCACTATAAATGTATATTTTTATTTATTATTTTATTGCCTTGGGGTCACTTTATACTGTACATGTGTAACCCTGATACATTCCAGTGAATTGTGTTTGTATCAGGCTGGAGAAATGGCTTTCTGCTGATATGATTGCCCCTTATTTCAATCTTCTAAACACTTCCTTTTTACTGGGAGATCGTAAAACCCAGGGTGAAGTCTGTTTTCAGAGAGACTTTTGTTAATTTTGGTGGACAAATGGAAAAATGAGTATCCCGCCTGCTTCCCTCTGCAGCTGTTAGAAGGGCAGGGCTTCTGAACGGACTCCTACTAGAGTCATTTTTCAGCTAAGTGGCAGGGATGGGACCATTAGCATGGCAGAGAGGGTCATTTTAAACTCATCTGGAAACTCTCAGTTTTTGTGCAAAGAAAATCATTCTCCGCTGAAATGAGCAATGGGGTCCTCTTACTCTTAAAGCCATCACAAGTGCCACCAGCCTCCACACATCTTCTGCCACTGGTAAAGACAGGGGACAGAATAACACGGTGGCATTATCCAAAGGAATGGGGTCCGGAAGAAATAACTCCTTCTCTTTTCTCAATCTATCGCCAGACACTCGGCAAAGGTGGTGAAGGCAGCCTCTCAGGTCCTCAGCAGTATGTGGCAGTACAGAGACCTGCGCTCCCTCTACAAGAAGGTAGGATGTGGTAAAACCATGTACCCAATCATCTCACACTGTTTGTGTCCTATTTACCTATTATATTTCCTGCTAATCTACTGCATACTGTACGATTTAATGTGTAAAAAATCATCTTTGCATACTAGATATCACTTTCAAGGACTTTTAACCTTATTACCTATTGTCATACATGGTAATTTAAACATTAATCGTCCACTTATCGATGTCGTGTATGGTCAAGTACGGTGGTTGGTTGAAGGTATGAGAGCTACAGCTGATGAAGAATTAATGTAAAGCCCATCTCTGCATTGACACACATGTTAGGTCTAATGTATGCATATTATATAATGGATTAATGACGCTTTAGTGTGTTGTGGAACTAACTAATATTACACTGTTGGGCTGTCCTGAGAATACTAAATCAAAAGTTGTAATGATAACTGTAGCATAAACCTGAAACATTATTGTAAAACAGTGCAATTAAACTGTCTTCACATTGCCAGACATGCCAGAAGCACAGTGCTGTCATAAAATTATTAATTAGTGCAACTCTCCACTGATTTGGGACTGTGATATGGATTCACAATCTAAGCTGTAAAAGAGTTTCAGGAGTAGTATGTGTAGATACACTTTTGTTGTGAAGGAGCAAGAAAAGTAAGTAAAAGAGCTAAATGAAAATTTGGCTGGCAGTCGCACTCATTTTAATTATGTTTGGCTTACAATTTAAAAAAAAGTAATTACTACATTTGCCAAATTGGCCTTGAACTATCTGAGGATGAACTATGTCAGGATGAGGGCTTGTCACTTTCACTGAAGCAGGTGTTGAGGGTGATTCTCTGCTGAACCTGTTTAATGAAGCAATTAAAAAACACACCTGACACACAGTCAAAGTTATGATTTAAGCTGCCTTTTTTGTATTTGGACGGCTAAAGATTATAGTTTGACCTCTGTGTTCTTGGATGCTCAGCTGAAACCTCGCTGGATGAATTATGCCTTGTTTTCCGGTCAGGACTAATCCTCGTCAGGATTTGCTGTTGTCTCGAGGACTCAGTGAGAATCGCTGCCGTCTTAAGCGGCTGCTAAACTAAGCTAATTTCATCCTGCAATGGACAGCTTAGCCAGACATTGCCAATGCTTGCCACAGGCTGTCACTATCAGTCAGCAGTTTCTGTGGTTTATTGTAGCCTATTGATTTAATCTTAAGGAAATATACAACTGAGAGATGAATGACAATTGTTTTTATTACTGTGAGATGTGTTCTTAGCATCACTGGGAACAGGACACAAGTCCATACCACAGCTGCTCCCAGCAGGGTGATACAAATATAACTCTTATAAAATATTTAGCTACCTAGCTTCATTAATAGAGTGCTGGTTCAATTCTGTGAGCCTCAAGGGTGTTAACACTGCACATGCACCAGTGTACCTCACAAATAAGCTTAGACAGAAAGATGAAGTGACTGGCAGAGTGAAGTTAAGTGCATTTTGTCATTAAGTGACCAAAGTAGATCACCTTCTAAACAACCTCAGTGTTACTATATTTATTCAGCAGATATTGGTTTGGAGACTGGCCACTGTAGTGTGTGTGGTTTATGGCACCATGTAGGTGTGTCTTCATAAACTCTTCGAGTTTATGAGTGTGTGTTTGTGTAACCAAGTGCTTATGTGTGTGTGTGTGTGTATGGGAGCATACACTTGCACACTTGCGGGTCCTTTATTTTTTCATGGCTCTAGGATTTGTCTTGTGCAGTGTGTATTGTTGTGTCTGTTGCATGTGTCCATAGGTGTAGCTTTTGTGGGGGAAGCAGGGAACACACAGTAGAACATGTAGAACATGTGCATTTGTTCCTCCCAGTAAAACATGAGGGCTTTTATTTTGCCCAAATTAAAGTCACTTATACCAAAAATTGATGCAGAAGAGGCACAAACTGGTGCATGAACATTAATAATAATAATAATAATAAATCGGTTTTATATAGCGCTTTTCTAGATACTCAAAGATGCTTTACAAAAGAATACGCACAGAAACAGGCACTCAAACAAAACACTCAATCAAAGGACACTCAAACAAGACACTCAAACAAAAGGCAAATAAACAACACTATACACTACACTACAAAGGGACCACATATTAAGACAGAGAGCGGGTGGAGGATGAAGGGGGGAGGATTTTCAGATGCTGTAGGTGATCCTGAAGAGATGGGACTGAAGCTGACTCTTGAATGAGGGAAGTGTGTCAGAGTTCCGGATGGCCAGGGGCAGGGAGTTCCAGAAGGTAGGGGCGGCGATGGCGAATGCTCTGTCCCCCAGGGTGCGGTACTTGGTCTTGGTGATGGGGGTGAGAAGGTTGGCATCGGAGGAGCGGAGGCAGCGAGTGGGAGAATGGTGATGGAGGAGATCGGTCAGGTATGAGGGTGCAAGGTTGTTTAGGGCTTTGTAAACATTCACCAAGCAAGTCAGACAACACGTGAGTTAAGGGGGCGAAAAGTCTGAATAGGGCAGGTGGGAGGGGTGGTGGACGGGTCCAATGACCATGGACTTTCACCTGGGAGGCCGGTGTTTGCTTCCTGGATGAATGTAAAGCCAAAACCGGTTATCTTTTTCTAAACCTAGCCACCTCCTTTTGTTGCCTTAACCTAACCACATGCGTGTATTGGCTAAACATGACTACGTTCATTTGTTGTTGAAGGAAAAAAAAGGCAATTCGCAGTGTTGTATTGACGTAGTACATTTACTTTTGTAAAGACTGTACACAAACTATATTTCAGTCATATTTGGTGGTATGGCTCTGTTTTGGGGCAAACCAAGCACACCTCCCTGCCCTTCCATGTGCCGACACAGAAAGCCTAAGGCAGGGAGAGCAGCAGCAAAGACCCCCCGGGAACAGAACAGAGCAGAGCAGCATCAATGACAAAGAGAAATGACATTGATAAGTCAGACACAGCATAAAAAGGAGGAGCTGGGGTGGAGGCAGGTTGCAAAGCAGCTTGCAGAGGAAGCAGCAACAGAAGGCAGGCCAGAGCAGTTTGAATAAGGCGTCCTGAATCAGATCCGCCAGTGGGTTGCATAGAGAGGAATCATGTGTCAATATGTCAATATTTCTTGTGAAAACCGTATTTTAAAAAGACACAATGCATGTAACAGGGTGAAGCTGACACGGCATCCCAGATCGTCAACAACAGACGCACCCTGTACACCTTGTACATCATGTGTAGACGTGGAAAGTCCATGACCAAGTGACGATATGTACCAAGGTCGGAGTTAGAATGTATTGGTGTGATGCTCTGTCCCCCAGCAATGTCGAAACTACACCTATACCCTTGCGTGTGCATGTGTGTGTGTGCGCGCACTTTCGCCGCCTTGAGCACTGTCATAACCACCTGGAAACAAAAGAATAATGGGGTTCTGCTGAGTGCTATCACAACTGTGCGACAGTGTTTACAGTGGCAGGAGGATCAATAACTTTGTGTTATTCTCTGGTCTATTGTTTTTCTGTTTATATTTCCCAGTGAGCACACACACGCACACACACACAAGCTAACATCAATGCTAATGGTTACTTAGCCCATCATTAAGACCAAATGGTGCAAATGCTGCTGGCTACCAGGAGTATGTTGCTCATTAATACAGTAGCTAACTTGTGTCTCATAGAGAACGGCATAAACAAGCAAAAAGTGAGGAAACCATATAAGGTACAGAGAAATGATGAGCAGTGTGTGTGTGTGTGTGTGTGTGTGTGTGTGTGTGTGTGTGCTGCTCCCACTCAGACACACTCTTTTATCTCTCTCTCTCTCTCTCTCTCTCTCTCTCTCTCTCTCTCTCTCACACACACACACACACACTGCTGGAGCCCACTTTCTCCTCCTCCAGGCTCTTTTGTTTCTTTTCAAATGACAAATACCCGCACACTCGCGCAAAGTTGATTAAAAGTAATGACAGATGTCCTCTTCCTTTCACTCGTCGGTAATGAGTGTTGTTGAGTGAATATCTGCCACCAAGGTTATCTGCCATCCAGCGCGCTAAAACTTTAGAAACGTAATCAGCGAGTTTCAGTGAGATATGTAGAAACATTAAGTAACACATTTCAGGGGAGGTGTCCTTGGCTTTTGAATGTGTCTGTTTCATCTTTGTGTGAGGAGAAAAAACAAGAGAAATGAAGCTGATCTATTGATTTATTTGAGTTACGTTCTTGTGTGAACAATTGTATATGCAATGTGCCATCTATTTCTATACAATGAAACAGCCCTGAGACAAATTATAATTCTTATGCTTACATTGAGCAGCTGTAGCTGACTATCTCCTGCAGCCCTAGTTTGTCGAAGTGTCAAAGTGTTGCCTTTCATTGCGTTATGCCGTCAAGAAAAGTGTCCCTTGTATTTATTCTATTTCGGGGGCGAATATTTATATTATTCAGCTGTGTCCCATATTGAAATCTTTGTCGGAGGACATTCAACAGAACACCAGGAGAGATTATTCGAGCTCGGCAACATAATTCACGTCAACAGCTCATTTCATCTCATGTTATGTTGCTCAGATGATAGACTGTGGGGGTTTCCTACTTGAATTTCAAGTACCTGCACTTCACTTTGCAAAGATGTCAAATCTCTAATAACGAGGAACCTGAAACAACAAGCGCGAGCTGTCGTTCTTTAAACTAATGAAGCATAAAGAAAAATATTTCAAGGTGTTAATGCGTTAGAGACGAGTGGAAAAACTGCTCCTCTGAATTACATTTCATGCCACCTGTTTTTAGAGACAAAAAAAAGCATAGCCTGTCGACTTCCTCGCATGATGGCATTATATTGGGCTCTCTGTCCGAGTCGAGGATTTCTGACTGTTGCTACAGTCACTTCAGGACAGGCCGCCCCGTGGCATCAGTGTGTCCTCGCCTCATCCTGACGACTGTGTCCCTCTCTTCATTCGTCATCCTCTCATCCCCAGTATTACACTGAACTGTATCCCCATGTGGCCCCTTGGAACCTTATCTGCTTCACACTTCTCTAATAATTGCCACTGGAT